GAGTTCTCTATGCTGCATCTGTGGAGGCCACCGGGTAATCCCAGTCTCTAAGGATCCTCAAAGATGCAGGGGTCTGCAAACCTGTGAGGGTTAGGAGAAAGCGAAAGAGGAATGAAGATGGGGAAGCCGTCAGTCCACTGTGGTCGCAATGAACATCTTGGCAAGGAGCACAGGGCAGCCTGTTCTCCAGGCTGTGCTCTGCTTCCTAGGCAGCAACAGATCTTTGAGCTCACCAGTTAAGTGTGGACTCATTAGCCCCTTGTACACTGTGGTATCTGGTCTCATCCCTCAAGAGGCCTGGAGGAGGGGGAGGGTATAGCTGTCTTTGGTACTTTGTTGGGGGTTCTTTTCCCACCCTTTATTCCCCCCACCTACCCTAGTTTCACCCCCTAACACTAGACAGGAGAGAAACAAGGATAGAGGGGAAAGGGATACCTGAATCTAATTTCTTTCCTTTTGTTTCTTCTTTGAGCACGATTACTAACAAACCTCAAATCACTCCTACCCCAACAACCACCAACTCCACCTCTTGGGGTGGCCCTAGCATTTATATACGCTTTGAAAAGTTCCCAGAATTCCAAGCATCATACAATCACAGAAACTGACTGCAGCTGGCAAAACCACACCTCTGCTAGAGCGTGAAGCAAATCATAGTCAGCTGCTGTGGAAGTCAGACTTGAAGCAGCCTCAGGTCCCCCACACCTGGGATTAAGATGAAAGCACATTCTTAAAACGTTTCTGTGTTTTTTTAAAGGAACCAAAAGTCCACAATTGTCACTACCAGAGAGGAAGAGGCACACCCAACTGCCCCTGCTGTTGATGGGAGCAGAAGCAAAGGGACAGGAAAGGATCTCTTTCCTGTGTCCCACGTGACTAGCCTCTGTCCTTTTTGAGTATCCAGTTCCCAATTCCTGCCCCAGGAAAAGCAGTCCTAGAAGGCAGAGAGAGAGAGAGAGAGAGAGAGAGAGAGAGAGAGAGAGAGAGAGAGAGGAAGAAGAAGAAGAGGAGGAAAAGGAAAAAGAGGAGGAAGAAGAGGAGGAGGAGGAGGAGGAAGACGAGTCTTCTAGCCGCTCTCACACTCCTTCCTAAGCATCCATCTCTTCAGAGCATCCCACCCCATGATAAAGCTCACCCCATACCCTCTCTTTCCAGGCCTGCAGAATTCCTGATTCCTTTTATGCTGCCCACAGAAGCCCTGAGGCTACCATGGGACATGACAGACATCTCCTGTGCCCAGGAGGGCCTACACCCTTCTCAGCTCTGTTTGGGCTTTGAGGTTCTTCACCCCCTTAGCAAAGCAGAGAGGCAGCATTCAGCTGAAGTACCACCTCATTCTTGCTCCCAAATTGGCCTCAACATCTTCTGGTAACTCTGCATCTAGGACTGGCTGGATGGTCATCAGAGTCAACCCCACGGAGGGTAGGAAACCCAGAACAAGGCAGATGTTGGCAGACCCATAGCCAGGTGAGGCAGTCTTAGATCACAAAGCAGCCAACCATTGCCTTGTTTTGTCTGGAGATTAAAAAAAAAAAAAAAAACTCTGGGGACAAGTAGCTGAGATCTGCAGTACTAATGGGTGGTTCCTGAGAGCAGGGGCCATGACCCTTCTCGAGAGCATCACACACAAACCTATTGCCACATAGTCACTTGTGAAGTTTGCCGGAGGGAGGGACAATCTCCCCAGGCAGAGAGCAAAGCAGCCCCATGTCTACAATCAGGTAGCTCCTGTCCTTGGGTGTGCCTCACCCTCTCTAGCTGGAAGTTTAGCAAGCTAAGGGTTTTCTACCTTCAACTATCCTAGGAATAGCAGGAAGCCACCTAGGACTCTGTGTAACCCTCCTCCCACTCAGCCATCCTCCTCCAGCCCATGCTGCCGTGCCCTGTGTCATCTAGGGTGTCAGAAACCTGGGCTGGCAGCAACAGCACCAGAAGCTAGCACCCTGCTTCCTAGAAAGCAAACACCCTTGTCACAGGTTCCTGGACCTTCTTCTTAGGAAAGGGTCATGTGGCCAACTAGAGGCAAAAAAAAAAAAAAAAAAAAAAAAATCCAGAGCATGGGGCTCTTCAGCCTTGGGCCTCTGAGGAATCTGCCAGGGATCCCTGGGTCCTAGGGATCAGTGTGCTCCCTGCAGCACCAGGAGAAGCGCTGTGTGATTTTAAGGCACTGTATGCATCAGACCCTCACGTCTGAACCCACCAACCAGTGCCCAGCTGCACATCATCCATCCACCACCCTACCCAGCTGCAGGAGTCTGGCCTTCCCAGAATCCCTCTTGCACATTTGTGTGGTGTGTACTCACCTACTTAGTACAGGGACCCACGCCCCCCCCCCCATTTGAGCTCACGAGGCCTTGTTCCCATCAGATGATGGGATTTTGGACACTCTGTTTCAAGCTTGTATGGAGGAGGAGGAGGACAGACTGAGGCCCTCCAGTTTCCTACTCAGCTCTCCTGGAAACCAAGGTGCCTGCAGAGAACTCAGAGCCTCAGCTGAAGATCTGCGGTCAGGAGGAGACTGAGAAAGGGTCCCTGTGTATGAACCACCAGGTGGGTCAGGCCTGGGCGAGGGACAGTAACACAGTCTGTCCTCCTGTTGGGCCCTGCTCTGTAAGATGTCAGCCCTCTCTGCCCTCTTTCTGAGCACTCAAAACACTGGAGAAAAAGGCTACATCCACATACAACAGGTGTCAAGACTCAGCGCAGCTCAAGGACTCTCTCTACAAAGGCCAAAGGCTATTTCCAACTGAAATCTCTTGATAGTGAGTGGACCACCTTCTGTAGATCAAGGCCTCTCTCCAGTGGCCCTTGCACTCAGTGTCAGGTCAAGGAAGTGGGAAGGTTGAGCCCCACTCTCATCCTCCTTCTGAGCTTTTCCTCAGGGAAGAGCAGGGGGAAGATGGACCGATGGAGGCTGTTTGCAGATCACACTCCCCTTAATCAGCCCACAGTTCTGAACTTCAGAATCCCTGGGGAACTCCAGGGAAGGCTGTGCCTGGGAAGATGAGGCCCAGAGAGCAGGAGCAGGGACAGCTGAGTCCCCCAGGAGTCCTCAGCCATGCGCCCTGAAGCTGAAGACTGCTGGGCTCATCCACAAGTCTGCTGGGTTTCTGCAGGGTGGACCCAGCCTGCTGCTTCAACATTTTCAGGATGTCATCTGTGCAAGCATCATGGCCGCTGGAATGGCAGTGTGCCAAAGCTTCGAGTGAAGGGGACAAGGGCTCCCTTGTTGCTGACCACTCAGGTCTCTGTCTGGACTCTCCAGCCACCCCTGTGCACACCAAAGTCCCATTGCCCTCTTTGTCAGGACATTAATCAGTGGGTTAGAGCCCTCCTGAATCAGCAAAGACTTAGCATCTGAATTAAATCACACAGATGTATACATTGAATAGACATAGTCCAACCCGCGACACCATCTATTAGCTTGAGCAATACATCAGGGACCAAGGCATAAACAAACTGCATTGTCTCCTGTGGGCACGTCGGTGGGAGCCCCAGTGAGGCAGCAATGTAGAGTGACTTGGTACTGCCCTACAGGGTGAGTGTACCTTTCTGTCGACAGGGCTGCTGGTTTTCCTGTTGCCTGCTCCATGTGCTTCTGGGGGTGGCTGAGATCTGCGTGGGGCCCTGGTGAAACCTGTGAGTTGCTTCCCAAACCTGTATTTCTGCTGAAGGAGGTTAGTGAGCAGCGTGGCGTGTAGGCAGCAGACAGCTGGTCTCCGAGCCCTGAAGAGGCTGAGGCAAGCCTCTCTCCCGCTGGAGAGGCTTCCCACTGCAGTGGGCTTAGAATTTTAAACCCCAGTACTGGAGACAGCTACTCCCTCTTCCTGGGGCTGCGCGGAGCCTGCTGGCTTTAACTATGTGCCACAGCGGAAGAATGAGCTTGCACAGCAGCAAGGTGAGGGGGTTCAGCGAAGTGAGGATCTCCAGTTTCTTTCAGGGTAATGGCTTGTGAATGTCCGAAGCCTATTAACCCCGCCTCAAAGGTGGGCCCAGCACCTCTCAGGAGACTGAAAGTTCCCCTCAGGAATGCCAGGTCATCCGTCATTAAGGAGCTTGAAGAATCAGCCGCAGGCGACGTATTGTGTGGGAGGGCAGGAAGGATATGGCAGGTGAGGGCTGGTTCAGAACAGTAGGCTTTATCTATCTATGCCTGGGAGGGGAAGAGGTTACAAAAGGCTACAAATAGGTTATCTTACAGATCTAAGGACCCGGGGAATGGGCAGCCACAGATGCCCTGTTTCCACACGCTTAAACAAATGAGTACTTACAGTCACATCTGACCAACCCGGAGTGTGGGCTAGTCCCAGTTCTGTTGACCACAAAACTCTCAGGACCTCGGTTTTCTCCTAGAAACAGAATGACACCAGCTACTGTGCCCTGCAAGCATTAACACGAACGCCAGGATGACTCAGCCCCCTCCCCCCCCCACTGTCTCCTACGCTGCAGACTCACCTTCTCTTCCCACCTCAGCCCACAGATGCCAAGGAATGTGGGGTTATATGAGTAAAAACTCGGTTCTGGTTACACAGCCCTGCTACTCAGCCACAGACACACCCAGTTGGTGCTACGTCCACCTATCCCAGAGACTGTCCCACCGGACTTTAAAGTCATAAACATCCATTCGGAGAACCTAGACAACCAGACAGGGCTGTTCCGGCTCTCCGGGGCACGGATTATAAAGGATGCTGGAGAGGATAGGGACTTGGCTTGTCCAAGTTGGCTGGCCCCTGTCACCCAACCCTGAACTCTGCTCTTTCATCCCGGGCAGGTCGATGGCCAGTCCCCCGCGGGGTCGGTGCGTGACCATGACGCGGGCCAGCCGAGTCCCGTGGGGCAGACACCGCCGACCACGCGGCGGGTTCCCCCCGCCCGCGCACCTGTCCTGGGCGTGGCTTCGCGGCCCCGCCCCGCCGTGCTCGGCGCTGGTTGGCCGAGGTGGTGCGCTATGCTAATGAGCCTGACCCTTCTCGCACCTGCCGGCCTCGCTGCCCGCAGGCGCCGCCAGAAGCTACAGTCGGCGTGTCCCGCTGCGGGCTCTAGACCCTGCCTGCTCTCGGGAGGGGACCATGCCGCGCTCCTTCCTGGTGAAAACGCACTCCAGTCACAGGGTCCCCAACTACGGGAAACTGGAGACACAGAGAGGTAGGGGTTGGCCGGATCTCCGCCCCCAGCACGCAGCGCTTCGGGGCTGGAGGCAGCTGGGAAGTCCTTGGGAACTGGGTCACACCTGCCCCAGGTGAGAGGGGAAGGGGGACAGAGTTTTCCAGTTCCACAGGGGACGAGGTTCCCTTCTGGCCTAAGACTGGGGCTCCAAGAGGAATGTGCCCAGGGCAACTAACTTCTCTGCTTCGGAAGACTCAGGCATGCCTTGGGTTCCTCACTCAGAAAAGTTTCCTGAGCCCCAGGTCTCTCTGGATCTCTCCCTGTGGACTGCCAACACTACAGCTTCAGCCAAACAGACCCTGAAGTCCTCTCTGTGCAGGCCTGGAAGGGGTCGAACTTAAAATATATCCCAGGCGCTGTATACACCCACCTAGAGAAGGCCTCACTGACCACAATGCAAGGAAACTTGTCCCGCCCCGTAGATGGTGACTGGTGAGAAAAAGCAGGACTCCCCCAGAGCATCCTCGCTCTGCCTCGCGGGTGGTGAGCTCACTGATAGAGCAAACAACCTCTGGTGGTCTTCCCTCTTCCCAGAAGCCCCCTTGCTCTCCCTTCCTTGGAAGACCAAGGAAGAGAGGCCCTCCTCGCTCAGACTCAGGGGCTTTAGACTTGAGCACCTGAGAAGAGAACCCTTAATCTTCAGGGCTAGCCTGCTGCAGTAGGTCAGAGCTATCCCTGCTCAGGTGGGCAGCTTCTTGGAGAAAGACCTACTGGGGAACTGTCCAGTGCCTAGGGACACCTTGGATGTCGGGGCTTATGCCAGCGCCTTCACATAGTGAGTCCTACCCAGAGCCCCAGTTGCTGGGAGATCCTTGGATTAAGCCCCATCACCTGTGCTGCCACCAGGGGGTGCTATCTAGGACCCTGCTCTTCCGGGAGAACATTTTGAATTCAATTTAATGAGTCACCACCAGCAATTCTATAACAGAAGCTACTAAAGTGTGATGCGACTTTTCTTTTTGTTGGGTGGTGGGTCTCCTTACAGAGAAGGTGGGAAGTTGTACTTACAGTGAATGTAGGTTTTTTTTCTTCTGGTACGGAGGATGGAATCAATGCCTCACATAAGACTGGTTATACACTTACTGATGAACCATACCTCTGGCCCTAGGCCATAGTTTTAGGACTTTAAAACCTTAGGCTGCACTTTGACAGTGCACACCAGCTTACCACTTAAATGGGCAAATCAGGTGCCCTGCAGAGCCCTGTTGCAGACAGGAGGTTGTCTAGAGTGGTCTTAATGCCCTTTAGCGTTCCTTCTTGGCTTTCCCAGGACCCCATGGTCCCAGTGACTCTCTTCCTATCAGGGTGTCACCCTAGAGTATACCTGAGGTGCTGAGGTCTGGGGTTTCCCCCTCCCTCCTCTCAAGGAGCCTTGAGAGGGCATTGAGACCCCTATCTCTGGGGAACCAAAGCTTCAGAAATCACAAAAGTGCCAGAGAATGAGAACATAGGAAAGACACATGCAGAACCCATGGTCACTCCCACCTGTATGAGGTCCCTTTTCTCTGCCTGTGGAGGGGACACAGAACACAGACAGTGTTTGAACCTGGCCATACCTTGGCGGCAGAAGCGGAGACCTTCCTGCAGACAGGACCCCAGTGAAACTTCCCACATTCTGTTGTCTGGAACTCTGCTGACAGAATCTCTTAGCTGTCCTGCTCTCTCCTCCAATCCAGAGTATATATAATTAGGAACAGTGTGTCAAAGAACTCAGGTAGGGAGGAAGTAATGGAATTTTGACTTCCTGGTTCACCATATCCTTGCCAGCACTTGTCTCTTCTACCCATCCTTGAAGTAAGGACATGGCGCCTTGACATGGTTTTAATTTGCATCTTTCCGGTCTCTAACGATGGGTGATTTCTTGTGTGCGTATTGCCCATATGCTTTTTTAAAATGTTAGTCTTTTTTTAATTAAGAAAACTTTATTTATTTGTGAGTGGGTGTGGGCATGTGTATCAGGAATATGTGTGGATGTCAGAGATAACGTGCAAGTAGCTTTCCCTTTCATCTTAGGGGTTGGGGACATAAAAGTCAGGTCGGCTGACTCGGCTGCGAGCATGTCTGTCTACCTGCTCAGCCATCTTGCCAACTTGGGTATTGTCTTTGGAGAAACAGATATTCTTATAGCCCCTAATTTTGGAGGGTGATGTCCCATGTAGCCCAGGCTAACCTTGAACTCTTTGTAGCTGAGGATGACTTTCAGCTTCTGATCCTCCTGCCTCTACCTCCCTAATTAGGATGTGCAACGTTATACCCAGCATGGAGAAGGATCCCAGGACGTCTTGAGTACTGGGCAAGCTCCCTACCCACCAAGCTGTGCCTCCTACCCTTTTGTATTTATTTTTAAATTGTGCTATTAGACTTTTCATAGTGGTGCTGTAAACTTTCTTTGTACTTACTTTCTTTGCCTAGTTTCTTTTTTCTTTTTTTTTTTTTGGTTTTTCGAGACAGGGTTTTTCTGTATAGCCCTGGCTGTCCTGGAACTCACTCTGTAGACCAGGCTGGCCTCGAACTCAGAAATCCGCCTGTCTCTGCCTCCCAAGTGCTGGGATTAAAGGCGTGCGCCACCACCGCCCTGCCATAGCCTAGTTTCTAATCAAACATTTCCTTTGGGAATATTCCCTCCCAACCTGTGAGCTACCATTTCTACCCAAAGCCTTGGCATCAGGGTAGAAACGGGGGTAAGAGGTCTATCTCAGCGCGTGTGGCAGAGGAAGGGGATGAAGGGCTGATTGGTGCTTCTGTCTTTGGGGAATCCAGAATTTGCCTTTTGTTTGCAGCCTGGTCTCTGTGTGTGTGTGTTGGGAGGGATACCGGCATTGTTTGATTAAACACATGAGATTCTGGCCACAAATAAAGGAGCCACAACCGAAGGACATACAAGCCAGGACTAGATCTGATGCTGCCTAGTTCACTAGCTGCGGCCACTCGTCTGGCTGGGCGTGTTCATGCACGCAGACAGGGTAGCAAATGTGTGCTGTTGAGTAGCCAGGGATGTGGCCAAGCACAGCACATCATGACTCAAGGAGGCGCCACAAGAGTGACCCTGCGGTGAGTGGAGGCTGATTGCTGTGGGGGTGGCTGGCCGGTTTTACCAGCTCCTTTTGTTCTGAGAGCATACGTCTGTGTGGGAGCCCAGGGGTGCTAGCCCCAGCTGCTACCTGCTGTCCAGAAGTGGGACTGGGGCTCCTTAAGACAAGCTGCTCAGACTTGAGCAAGGAACCCTATGGTGAGCTAATTCTTGAGTTTTCTAATTGTAGCCCAGGCTGGCTCAGATTTGAAATCCTCCTGACTTAGTCTCTGGAATGCTAGGTTTGCAGGTGTCTACCCGCATGCCTGGCTTTGCAGCTGTTTCTGTCCTTGAGCACTGGAGGTCCTGGAAGATACATAAAATCAAGGATCTTAAACAAGTTCAGTTCACCTTCTAGTGTCTGCACGTGTCTAGTTCATACATTTCTCAGGCCTTACCTCCCCTTACCACCTCTCTGGACCAGAACGGTAGATGAAGGTGAGAACTCTGGCTGCTGTAGGTATGATGGGTTCATAGTAGGCATACGTACCATACCTCTGGCTTCCTGCTGCCTGCTGCTGACCTATAAGACAGGCCAGACTACAGTCACATAAGTGAGCAGAAGTTTGAAAGCCCGGGCCTTGAGATCTCACTCTTCACTCTGTGTTGTCTCTCCCTTCTGTCCTTCTAGAAGCTAATGGCTCTTGCTCTGCCTGTGGGGAGCTGGTGGGATCCCGCCACTGGCCAGACAAGGCCCCTTCGAATCCCAGCGACCCTCTGCAGCCTTGGGACAGTACCTCTGCCGTTGCCTGCATCTCCCTGCCTCTTCTGCCGTGTCACGGAGAAACTCTGGGAGCCTCTGGACCAGAACCCCAGGAAACCAGCTGGGTGGGCCCTCGGGCTGGCCAGGCCCCGAGTGTGACTCTCAAAGACAGCTTCAATCTGCCCCCACTGTTGGTGCTATCCACACGCTGGCCCCCAATCCTGGGCCCAGATGGAGCTCTGGATGACCATCTCAGGGCTGAGGGGACATCTCGAGTCCCAGGTAGTTTTGAGTGTGTTCACTGCCACAGGCCGTATCATACGCTGGCTGGCCTGGCGAGGCATCAGCAGCTGCACTGCCACCTGCCGACTGGGCGCGCCTTCACCTGCAGGTACTGTGACAAGGAGTATGCCAGCCTGGGTGCCCTCAAGATGCATATCCGCACCCACACGCTGCCCTGCATCTGTAAGGTGTGCGGTAAGGCCTTCTCCAGGCCCTGGCTGCTCCAGGGCCACATCCGCACCCATACAGGTAGGAGGGGCAAGGCTGCAATCCCGGAGGAGGATCCAGGTTGGGGAAGGGGCTGGTCTCCTTTTGGCAGGGTCTGTGTACCTCCTACAGCTGCTGACACCTATTCCCACAGATAAAGAACAGCATACACATGTCCCCTCAAGGGCCCGAGGCCAGAAACCTAAACTCCAGGCATGGCCAGGCCACATTCTCTGCAAAGGCCGTAGGGATGACGATACTTCTTGCCTCTCTGGGCTCCTGGCAGCCACCCTACTCATTGGCAAATGGCCACATCTGTGTATCTGTCTCTGCCCCTACCTTCCTAATGCCTTCTCCCCTGGGTGTGTGTCTCTCTGCTGTATGGGGAGGGAGACCCCTGTAAGTCACAGAGTTAGGATTCAGCCAGATGGCCTCTGTTATCTTTGCAAAGGCCCCGTTTCTGAGGAGGGGAGCTAAGGGAGCTGGTGTCTCTGAATGACAGCCCTGAGAACTACAGAGATTCTGCAGAGCCTGTCTACCCACAGCTCGTGGCTTCAGAGCCAGGGGAGTCTGTGAAGTTGAGGGAGCATAGTCACTGTGGAAACTCCCACAGGAAGGGCAGACTCTGGACTTGGAGAACTGGAACCAGTTAGGGTACCCGTGCCTCTTGTGGGGTGCAGAATCAGACAGGCATTTCTCAATGGCCCCTCCCCTTCTACTTTGGAGGGTTATCCTGGAAGCCAAGGTCTTAGCAGAAAGATTCTCTCCCCACCCTTGGTGGCCCTGATTGGAGATGGTGCGTGTGTCCAGGATTCTAACTTACTCCTTCCTTCACAGTGGCTCAATATCACACTTGCCAGTGGCCAGGAAGTGCTCCCGGGGGCTTCCACTACTTCTCACGGTCAGAACTGAGCACCTAGGGAATCACAGAGACACAGCAGCCACCCTGCCTTTGCCTCAGAAGGTCTCTGATGCTGTGATCCTGTCCTGAGTGACAGTCTGATTGTCCACAGGGCTCTGGCCTTGGGTGCTTGGGCTGTGTTGAGGATTTGGAGGACAAGGGCAAGTTACTGGTTGGTCAGCAGTGACATTTCACCTTTGGCTACAATCTGTGGGCTTGTCGCCCCTCACCTGACCTCCCTTCTTCCTCCCACAGGTGAGAAGCCCTATACCTGTTCTCACTGCAGCAGAGCCTTTGCTGACCGCTCCAACCTAAGGGCTCACCTGCAGACTCATGCTGGTACCAAGAAGTACAGGTGTGCCGTGTGCCCCAAGGCCTTCTCCCGCATGTCTCTCTTGGCGCGGCATGAGGAAGCAGGCTGCTGTCCTGGCCCCTAGTAGGGGTACAGCAGGGTGGAGAGGCCAAACCTGACAATACTCGTCAGTGGTTCTGTCATCCAGGATAGGGCCCAGCTCACTGTCACCTGTGTCCGGCCAGAACCAAGGCCAGTGGAGCCTTCGGGCGTCTTTCCCTAAGGCCTGCATTCAGAGGAGACTTATCACTACAAGGCTCAACAAAATAAGAACCAACAGTTCCATTTTCAGTTTGGCTTGTCTGCTGGACCTTTCCCAAAAAGGAGCATCTGTTGGGAACTAGCTAACATTGGACAAAACCCACCATGACACCAATGACCCTGGCCACCTGGGTCCCTTTGTGTGCAACTTGAAATGACCGTTTTTACTTGAGAGCACAATATGTGTGTAACCTTGGAAACCACAGCTACCTCTCAGCCAGCCTCAGTTGCCTTCACCTTGGGGTCGGAGACACATTTTCTCCTGCCCCTTATACATGAGCACACGTACACTCTGGTTCCTCCCCGTTAAGATGAGGCAGGGCCAGAGAGGATTGGGCTGAAGCAGATCCCACCTCACTGTCCTCAGCATTGTTGTCCTGCTCAGAGCTGGCCTCGGTGGCTGGTTAACGTCTCAGGAGAGCAGCTGTAGCTAATAAAGAACCTCACACTCAGCCCTCCTGTCTTTTTTTTTTTTTTTTTTTTTTGGTTTTTCGAGACAGGATTTCTCTGTATAGCTCTGGCTGTCCTGGAACTCACTCTGTAGACCAGGCTGGCCTCGAACTCAGAAATCCACCTGCCTCTGCCTCCCAAGTGCTGGGATTAAAGGCATGTGCCACCACCACCCGGCATCCCTCCTGTCTTGAGTCTTTACCAATGCCCTGCATCTATGGAGGAGGCAGAATTCTCCAGGGGCAACAGGATTTCCAGATAACTTGGACCCTTCTGGGCACAGAGCAGACAGGAGACAGAGGGCATCATGTCAGAGCGTTTCAGAGGCCTGTGTGCTGGCAAGCCTGCGGCCTTCGCTGGAAGAAATGAAACCTGGAAGACAAGCTGCATGAAGTGACTTGGAGGAATGATGTCAGTGGGACACTAGCAGCAGAGTTAGAGACCGTGAAGGATGCTGGGTTAGGACCAAGGCTGAGAACTGGTAGGGTGGCTAGCAGCTGAGAAGCGTCCCAAGCACAGGAGAGAGCAGGACTTGGTTCTTCAGTGGATCTGACTGACTCAAGTTGGTATCTGGGCCACAGACCCACAGAATCCAGCAGAGAGAATTCTTTTTTTTTTTTTAGGTAACTGTCTCTCAGCCACTCCAGTCCTGGCCCAGAACAAGGGACATAAGTCAGCCACCTTTGTCTAGGCCCAGTAACAAGGGTTCCCACCTTCTCTGGAGCTTCCGGGAGCCTGTTAAACCTTCCTGTGGGAAAGCGGGCGGCCGGGAAAGCCCATGGGTGTCATGTGGGTACCTTAGCCTCTGCAGCTGCTTCAGGCCAGACTTGTTAGTGGGTGTCTAGCTGTGGTTTGCTGGCCTTCCCAGAGGAAGCTTGACCTCTTTGTTTGGAGATGGTCTCAGTCTATAGGCCACGCTGGCCTTGAGCTCACTGCAGTCTGTCTGTCTCAGCTGCCTCAACTGGGTGACAGGCATGAGCAACATACCTGGCTTAGAAACTTGACCTTGAGGTTGGGCTTCTAGACCAGGAGTGACTACAAACACATAAACACTGAACCCACCACTCCTCCGAGGGAGAAGGCTACAGACTGACTGACAGCACCAGACCTATGCCGGCTGGTAGAAGGACACCCTTTTGAGACAGACACACTCACATTCCCAGACCAAGACCTCTGAATGGAAATGCACCCATCGAAAGTTCTGGCAGCCGGAGATCCCAGCTGAAAATGACCTCCAAGGAGGGAGGTGGATATTGTCCTGTCTTGTAGGAGGTCCTCTGTCTGCTGTCACACTGCCCTGTGCCACTCCATAGGACATCATCTTAGCTGCAAAGATCCACTTCTAAGGGTCTTCAATGGTTAGGATTTTGACATGCATTTGGAGTGGAGGACTTCTCTTCAGCCCAAACATCCAAGAACATTTGAGAAGTTAGCCTACCTGGTCATCATTCTTAGAGCAGAGTGGGGCAGGGTGGGGTGGGGTCTGATGATTCTTTCTTGAAATGTATACAGGGTCATGGGGTAGTCAGGTGTTAGAAATAGCTTCAAAGGTTGTGGGTAAGAAGCCCCTTCCCTCCCTCACTTCCTCTTCATCTCTCTGTTAAAACAAAGGAAGGAATCTTGTCCCCAAATGACTGGTCCTTTTGCAAGCAGGTCAAGATTCCCCTGACGGAGGGGCCCTCAGAACCCCAATCAACATGAGCCTGAGTTTCTCACAGGAGTGTTCTTTTAAAATAGCATCCAGATGCCCAAAGGAAGCTATATTGTAGATTGTGTTCTATTTCTGGCTCCCCATGTCTAAATGGGGCTGTCACACCTGTCGGGTATGAAGCAGGGAATCTCACAGCCCAAAATAAAGTGGAATGTTTTCCCCCTTTGGTTCCAGCCCATGGAAAATGCTCTTGTATTTATATCTGGGCTGGTGGAAGGCTGAGGCAGCGGAGGGTGGGGGTTGGCAGAGAGGCGGGAGGTGGGTACCTGCCAGGGAACAGATACGGAATGAACAGAGGATGCTTTCCACACAGCGGGCCAGGCTGAAGTCAGGCGGCGGCAGCTGAGGAGCCTGCAGACACCTGCGCCTGCCCAGCCAGCCTGGCACAGCAAAGGGATGGGGGAGAGAGGCTTCTCAATTTCTGGGCCCAGTCCCTGACATGCAGAATGAGGGTCAAGAAGAGGGTGTCCCAGTGTGCTTGGCTGGCCTTTTCTTTGGGGTTGCTTGTCTTCCTTGCCTGTCCCCTTCTATAGAATTACTTTTGAAAGTCCCACTTCGCCTCCTAAGGACGAACTTTCGAGAAAACTTCTAGGCCTTTTGTTAGAACCTCTATCCAAAATGGGAGCAGGGGACAGCTAGGGACAAGGGGCCCAGGAGAGTAGGAAAACCGGTCTAGTCACAGCCCTGTGACGTCTGTGGGAAGCAGAGACCTGCAAGCTTGGTGATACTCAGGATGAGATAAATACATAACCCATCACATCTGGAAGCTGTCTTCCCTGCGTGCTGGCTGCCCTTCCAGGAGGGCACAGGACAGTACCTGCAGAAAGAACATCTAAGGTCTGAGGGCCTCTACTGGTCTTCCAGTCAGGGTTGAAATCAAAGAACATCCTTGGCTTTCTGGAAACAGGTGCTTGAGGGACAGGCCTTTGGATGACCCAGTCCCTCTCCCACAACCTGCTGAAAGAAGCCTCTTTAGAAAGCCAAAGAGACACGAAGGTTAGAGCTCTTGCTTCCAGAAGCCCGGTGGATTATATAAATAGCATTTTGGCCCCGGAATATTCTAGGGGGTTCTCCAGATGCTTGAAATAGCCCACTTGTTACTATCTATACTCAGAGCATCTACCCCTGGCCGCGCCCACGTGGCTAAGTATAGCTCCCTGGCTGAACTTGATGGAACATAACTTGACTGTGGAGGGGAACATCCAGGGAGAGCACATGGCTGCTGAGGCAAGCAGCCACACCCCTGCAGTCCAGCCCAGAACATCCAGTGTCTGCTGAGTTAACCAAATAGCCAGCTTCTCAATGTCTAGAACTGCTGGGACTCGAGAGATGGCTTATGGGTTAAAACAGCGACATCAGGCAAATTACAAGTGCATATTAACTCCAGCCTCAGGCATCTGAGCCCTTTCTCCCCGCTGGCTTCCATGGACACTCCATACATGTAGCATTAGACATAGATACATAAACTCCTTAAAAAGAACTACACAAAGTTCAATGTCAGAATTAAAGAGAACACATGGAAGCCCTGGGGTTTGCCCTTCAACCTGAATTTTATATCTTTATTTATAGGTCTCTGAAGTGGGGATGTAGTGTAGTGGTAGAAGACAGGCCTAGCATGGCTGAAGACCTGGGGGAAAGACAGAAAGAGAAGGAAGTGAGGGAGGATAAAGGATTCTTAAAAACACAGTATGACTGTACCTTAGACCCGACCAGAACACAGTCCTGCCCCTTAAATACAGTGGTCACTCTAGAAGGCCAGATCCCATACCCTGAATAAATCAGGGCACACCCCCTGCAGCTCTCTTTGGGACAGAGAGTTAAATCTGTTGTGACAACTCCTTTTCTCCTTTCATGTGTACGGATGTTTTGCTTGCACATCTGTGCGCCAGATGTGCGCCTGGCTCCCATGGAGGTCAGATCCCATGGGGATCAGATTCCCTGAGTCTGGAGTTGTAGACCTTGTTCGTTTGTTTGTTTTTTGAGACAGGGTTTCTCTGTGTAGCCTTAGCCATCCCGGAACTCACTCTGTAGACCAGGCTGGCCTCGAACCCTTGAGCTCACAGAGATTCTATTGTCTCTGCCTCCCAAGTGCTGGGATTAAAGTCGTGCGCCACCGACAACTGGCCCGAGTTACACTTAATTGTAAGGCACCATGTGGAGGATGAAAATGGAACCCTGGTCCTCTGCAAGACCAACAAGCGGCCTTAACTGCTGATCCATCTCCCCACCCCCACCCCGTGTGACAGCCCTTAATTTAAGACACCTGTCCCCTCCATACTCTGGCTTATATGCTATGTTGAACTAAATCATGTGACGTGAAACTTCCCACTGATTCCCCCAAACGTATAACACTCGGACACTTCTTTTGTTTGGGAGATTTCCAGGACATCACTCTGGAGATACCATCTCCTACCTGGTCAAAGTTCTCTCTGGCCTCACCATCTCCTACCTCACGGAGTCCCTCTCCCCCCGCCCCCATCCTTATCTTCTGTTGCCACAGTTCCTTCCCTTAGGGAGGCCAAAGGACATTTACCCCACTTCACCTATGATCTCCAAAACAAACCAATAGTGGAATAGTACTATTCCACTAGGTGACACCCTGTGGGTTTGTAGACGGAGTTCTTTCCCCTGATTCTTCACTCACATAGATCCTCTAGCCCTAGCCAGAGACCCCAGGTCACATGCAGATAGGGCCAATTGCATACGACTTGTTGGGAGGAATGATGGATACTCAGATGAGGTTTCCATGATCCTCCAGACCTGCTCCAACAGGACGGGAGGTCAATAGTCAACAAGTCAGCTGTGATGGTCTCTGGCTGTGACGGTGCACATTTGTTTGTTTGTTTGTTTGTTTGTTTGTTTTTGGTTTTTCGAGACAGGGTTTCTCCGTGTAGCCCTGGCTGTCCTGGAACTCACTCTGTAGACCAGGCTGGCCTCGAACTCAGAAATCCGCCTGCCTCTGCCTCCCAAGTGCCGGGATTAAAGCCATGCGCCACCACCGCCCAGCGACGGTGCACTTTTTTCGGATACGTCATTTAATACACCAATACCAGCCATTTCTTCACTGGAGCCTATGACTTCTTTGGTGACAGGTTTTTGTCTAAGTTCCCAGTACCAGAAATGACTCTCCTCCTCTGGAAGGGCATTAAGTACATTCATACAGCTGGGTGGCGTTGTTCGTTTGTTTTTGTCTCTATACATAGCCGTTATCCTGGAATTCTCTAGCAGACCAGCCAGGCATGAAACTCACAGACATCCACCTGTCTCTGCCTCCTGAGACCCAGGACTAAA